TGTTTCTCCAGAGCTTGGAAAGCCTTCTCCCTCCTCAGGACTGCTAAGTATTGAATTCTGTTTTCATCTAGCTTTTTTTCTATAGTGTAATATTTCATATTTAACTGTTTACTCCATCCGGAATTTGTGGGGCTGTGGGATGTGAAGCGAGGAGTTAATTCTGCGCGCAGTTTAAGGGGGAAGCGGCCTCATTTGCACTTCCAAGCCTGGATTCCCTTGTCTGGGCGGAGTGGGAAGAGATTAAAGGGAGGAGGGGAGGTGGCACTGTCTACAGCCGGCCTGGGAGCTGTAATTAACCCGTCCCTCGCTGCCTCTGCCTGACTAAGTCAAAAGCAAAGAGTTGTCAGGCCAGCTGAGGAGTATCCTGGGTGATCCTGGGCCAGTCTCTTCATGCATCTGGGACTCAGTTTCCTTGTCTGCAGAATGGTGGCACAAGTGACACCTGTCCTGTTGGTGCCGTCACTGGGAGCATGTCCTGCAGAAAGCAAGGGGTCAGGCAGACCCGGCACAGGTCCTGGCTCCTCTGTGGGATGTCACTTCTCTGAGCCTCAGTTTCTCTATCTGGAAACCAGGGATGATACGACTGCAGTTCCCACCTCGTGGGGCCAGGGAACACTGCATGGCTGTCTCTCTGCTGTCATGATTGCTCTTCAGGGGAAGGGGCAGTGGCTCTGGGGTTGATTCTTGTGGTCTTTGGGAAGGGCCCTGACCCAGCTGTGGGGGCAGAGAGGCGGGAGGGAAGAGCAGTGGGACGGCCTGTGGGACCACCTTCCTCCCAAGCCCTGATGGGTGGGGGGACTTGCCCCTTCCCCTCCTCAGCTCCCCAGACTGAGCTGCAGGGGCCAGGCATGCAGAGAGCATTGCCTTGCTTCCTGACCCAGACAGAAGGACCAGCATTGGCCCCGGGGACTCTGCCGGACACACACGCGTGTGCACGCGCGCACACACGCGCGCACACACACGCGCACACGTACGCGGTGCTGGCCGGCAGGGTTCAGCTCTCCCGGCCTGTCTGAGCTGTTCCCACACCTGTCCCCTCTCGTGCCCCTTGTCCTCCCTGCAGGCCTGCCAGGGGCTGGGCTTCCTACAGCCTCCCGAGGTGCTGCCAGGGCCCCCAGCCTCCCGTTCTCGCTCCCGGGCTTTTTGTCCCTTGGAAAGAGGCACAGGAGAGGCGGAGCAGGAACGGAGGGGCAGCAGGGCCCACTCTGCGCTGCGTGAACCCGAACCCGAACCCTAGCCCACCCGCTCCCTCCATGTGTGGCCCCCAGCCTGGAACGACCCCCACCCCCCAGAAGGGCCCCGTCTGGAGCCTTGAGGTAGGGGCAGGAGGGGTCTGCCATTCTCTGTCCAGCCACCCTGGGCAGAGGAGGGAGGCGGGGTCCAGAGGGATGGAGCCCTGCCGAAGTCCCCCGGGGGCAGGAGGGAGCTGAGAACCCGGCTCGGGGCACCCCGGGAAGGCACCACCCCCTGCAGCGGCTGGGGAGGGGCCTGGGCAGGCCAGCTCAGCTCCCTTTCCTTCCGGCCCCGTTCCCCTTGGCCCACGATGCCCCCTGAGTTGGGGGCTCCCCCCCACCGTGCCCCCTCCGTAGGGTCAGCGCCAGGATGGCAGCCCTCCCCAGCCCGCGGTGCACACCAGGAGCCCGGCAAGCGCCGTGGAGCGCAGGGGCCGGGGGCGGCATCCCCACTGCTGAGGCCCACGGGGCTCCGGGGCAGGAGCGGGTGGTCGTTGGTGCTGGGGCTGAAGGAAGAGGGGGAGGGCCTGAGGGGCCACGTGTGGCGGGGCGTGAGGAGCCGCCCGGGGGCTGGACGAGGAGCCCGGCCGGCCTGAGGTTGGCAGGTCGGGGGGCTGGCTGCGCCCCTGCAGGGCCCCAAAGCGGCCAGCGGCACCCCGCGTCCCAGGTGAGGGGCCTGGCTCCTGACAGGTGGGACGGGCCCGGGGACAGGGCGGGCGCCTCCCGCCCCCCGGAGCCCCCTCGCCCCGGCCTCGTCGGGGGGATGTGGCGTGGAGAAGGGGGGGCACGGGTGCAGCTGCGGGGAGGCCGGGCTGCTGGCATCAGCAGGAGCCCCTCCCCCCTCGCTAAACAATCATTGCGCAAAATATGCAAATGATATAATTACTGTTATTTGTTTTGCTGATAGAAGTGTTTGAAATGCAAATGCCAAGTTGGGGCCTTTCCTTTGTCCCACCCCCTCACCCAGACTGACGTCCGCCGGGGATGAGTCGCTCCTCCTGGAAGCGGGGGACTTGGGCCCCTCCACCCCCCGCCCCCCCACCAGCTGCTGCCTCTGCCGCCCGAGGGGCACCCGGACGCGGCAGGGGTCCTGGGCCGCCACCCGATCGTGCGCACCGTGCACCTTAGAAGGGGGGCCTCGGTCGCCCCATCCCCCGCCGTGTGACCTGGGGCCTGTCCCTTGGCCTCCAGGAGCCCCAGGTTTCCTGTCTCTGTGATGGGGCCACAGCCTCGGGGCCCGTGCTCTGTGCCCCCTTGACAACCCCATGGAGGGTTTGGGCCTCGCTTTCCCACCTTCAGAAACCCTGCACAGGTGTCTTCTCAATAGAAGGGAGACTCGGAGTCCCTGGGCGGTCTTTGGGGGCCGTGGTGAACCCCCAGCATCACTGTGTGTACACTTTGCTAGCAGGGGTCGTCACCTTCGACCCCTCCAACCCAGGTGGTCTCTGGGGCTTTCGGAGCCCTCAGGCCTGTGGGTTCAGACCAACCTGGGCAGTGGCCGGTGAGAGGTGGTCACCATCATCCCTGTTCTTCGGAGGGGGAACCGAGGCTTGTCGAGGACCCACCGGTCAGCGTGTCTCCATCACGTGCCCGGTTCCCACCTGGCCCCCCTCCCCCACCCCGTGTCTCCCGCTCGAGCCGCTCCATCCGAACCGCAGACCTCCTCGTCTGATCTGCCACACGGGGCAGCTCCCGGGCCGAGGCTCGGATCTGTGACCGGCTTCACCTGAGCGCCTCCCACCACAGGTGCCGCGATTCCAGTATCTATGGGCTGTTCAGGCCCATAGAGTTCCAGCAGCAGCGCAGGCGCCGTCGGAAATGAGTGCAATCAGCCTGACCCCGGAAGGGGCGCAGCCCTGGAGAGGCCTCCCGCTGGGCCCCAGGTCCGTGGGAGCTAGTGGGCCTGCACAAGGGGTTACACCTGGGTGATGCTCTAGGCCGTTTGCGGAAAGACAAGGTATTATCAGAGGCAGGTGGGTGGGAGCGGGCCCTGGGCTCCTGTGGCCTCTCTGGTCGGTCTGCGCGGCGGCTGCAGGGCGAGATGCCGGGGCTGGGTTAAAGCCAAGTGCGGTGAGCGTGTGTGCACATACGAGTGGTTTTGGGGTCTGCAAGCGATGCTGACGGAGAGTGAAAGCTCAGGTAGTGTGAGACCGCAGGACCCACGCGCAGACCAGGGACCGTGGATCTCCCCGTACGGTGGCCTGGCTTCTGCTCACACGCGTGGGAGCATGGGGGCCACTGGTCCGCCTCGGACAGCTTTGCTAGGATGTCTGAGGGTAGCCGGAAACCCGGGCCCTGGCCCTGCCTGGTGCCGGCCGAGACGGCAGGGTGCCTGGGGTTCCCGAGCTGTTTCCTCGTCTGTAATGCGGGACTCTTTTCGAAGCTGGGCTGGGAATACAGTGGGCACTCGGTAAGCGTGCGTTCCTGCTTCTCCTCCGGGGCTTCGTGGGGCGAGGCAGCCCCTCTGCTGGCTCTGGGCAGCTGGGAGGCCGAGCTGGGGTTGTCAGGGTCACCGGGACCCAGGAGAGGAGAGCAGAGGGCACTCTGGGTGGGCAGCCAGGGTGGGCAAAGGCCTTGGGGGTGGGAAGGGATGTGGCCCTCTGGGTCCCTGGGCTGCGGTCTCAGCCTGGAATCCTCCGGGGGTGGGGGGGGGCCAGGCTTCAGGGAGCTTCTGAGCCCCGCGTCCTCTCTATTTTTATTCCAATTACCTTTTCCAAGGCAGGTTCAGCCTCATTAGCATATTCAAATACATTCATTATTATTTCAATTAGCTGTTAAGTAATTAACTCTAATTGATGAGCATTCCCCCCACTTCCCCACATATTTTTTTGGTTATTTACATCCGCTTCTAACCAACAATTTTAGGTAATTATGCGCCACTCTCTCATCTATTTGCACTCACAGGACAGGCTCCCTCTCCCTTTCAGCTCCCACCCCCAGCCCAGGAGCCTGGGGGGCTTCCGAGTGGGGGGATGGGAGGCGCAGGCAGACTGCGTGGGGATCCGGCTCCTGCCCAGGCCCTTGAGGGTCACTGCCGGGCCTCCAGGGGCTGAAGGTGTGCCGGAGCGCCCCCATCCTACTCCCGGGATCCCCCTTGTCCCAAAGATGCCGCTTCCTCTGGGCACCCCCTCACCCCAAACCAGGTGGTGCTGCCCTCGAGTTGGCTGGAAACAAAGGCAGAGAGCGGTGGCATGGTGGCCGTGGGCTTTGTCCAAACGCGGCTCCTTACTGCATCTCCCCTGTGTGCCCCCGCAAGAGGATGGCCCCTCGCCCTCAGTTTCCCTACCTGCAAAGTGGGGATCGAGTGATTGAAGAGTGAGGGTGAAATGAGGCGCGTGGAAGGTCCTCGGCACTGAGGACGCTCAGCGCAGGTTGGGGCTGAGCCAGGATAGATGATCGGTCACACCTGGTGGGCAGGCGAGGGGGCTCGGGCTGTAAACTGAATTGCTGAGGTCACAAGCTCATTATGTCAGCCAGAGCCGGGCCGGGGGTCGAAGGCTTCTGTTCCTGGGGCTCCCTGCCCGACACTGGGGCCACCGCAGGGTGGAATGGGCTGGAATCGCAGCAGTGACCACGGGCCCAGCCGGTCTGGACCGCGAAGTTCTGTTGATCTCTTGCCTCTGTGTCAGCTCCTCGCTTGCCCTCCGTTTTGTTACCCACACAGTGAGCACACACAGGGCAGAGACTCCCCCTGTGCTCGGGTAGATGGGATCTTCCGAAAGGCCCGTTCCCTTCTCAACTCCTCTCCCCTCTGTCTCCACACAGTGGAAGCTGCCTTGGTGACACCGTGTCCTGCACTTTGTCTGGACCCGTGCTCTCCCTCTGTGTCCTGAAACGAGGATGTGATGCCTACGACCCCCTTGGGGAGGAACACACCAGCCTGGTCTTCTCAGACAGGCCAGGTCATCGGCGGGCCCTGACCCGGAGGTAAGGGATGCCCTTGCTCATTGGCTGTCCCGGCAAAGGGGGGCAGGGCCAGTTCATAAGGACCTGGGAGGCAGGTGTGCTGGGTCATGGGTGCGGCCTGGAAGGGGTGGGGGGAAATTCGGCCGTTCCTGCAGAAAACAGTCGGCCTTTAGGGTCTGGCTCCCGTTCAGAGGTGCTGCCCAGCCCACAGAGGAAACGGGCAAAGGCTGCAGGGGCTCCCTAAGACTCAGCAAGAGGGACGGGGGGTTTCAGGGGACCCGAGAATGGTCTGAGTAGGCAGTGGCCGTGCTCAGGCCTGTCCAGCATCCTCCCCTGATGAGTCAGGGGATGCTCTGTGGGGTAAAAGCGATTTCGTCTTCCACCACTTTATGGGAGAAGATGCGGCGTCACGTGTTGGAGCGTAAAGCCGTACCTGCTGCGCGGTATATGTTAATATTGACTCCGTGTATATTTGAAGACAGGCTTATATGGAAAAAATTATCTGAGATGCTGCATTGAATACCTAAGTGAATGATGGGGCTTGAAGCTGCCATCCCAGTGGCCAGGTGTTCAGTGACCAGCTGTGCTGTGTCTGCTGGAGTCTCACCTCCAGCTGGAAAGTCGCTGGACAAGCTGTTTTCCTTCAGTGCGTTCAGAAATCACAGATATGCCCTCTTCTGTCGACTGTATCTCGGGTTTCTCCAGGCCACAAGTACTTCGTGTGGTCCTGGGACTCTGACTCAGCAGTTTTCAAACTTGGCTCCTAGGCAGGTGCTGTGAATGGGAGTTTCCTCGTCTGATAGAGCTGGGTTGTAATGTTTCACTGAACCAGCAGGAGGTGCTGTTGGTAAGTGACACGGTACCTTGAAAAGTGGATTTTAGGTTTTGGGTGTTTGCAGTAGACTGTTGCCTGCTGTGTTCGGCTGTTACAGAATCCTGTCAACTGGGTTCATTTAAAGTGATGGTGGTCTTATGCTCTGCCCACTCTAACGGACTGTGACAGGAGGCGTCTGGGGATTTGTGAAGCTTTGTCCTCCGGCACGTGGCTCCTCAGCGTGGCTTTCGAGTGAGGCTTTGGGGAGGTGGTTCTGAAGAGGAATCGAGGACGGAGAGGAGCCCACCGGCAGGAGAAGAGGCCGCAGGGGTCCCGGGCAGAGGGAGCGGCCGAGCAAAGCCCTGGGGGCGGGCAGGCTTGGCGTGGGTGAGGGTCAGAGCGCAGGCGCGGGCGGAGCGCTGGGCTGGGGCCGGGTCACAGGGTTAAGCCGCCTGGTCACTGCTCCTTCCGTCATTCTCCAGACGGCCATCGAGTGCCCGCCATTTGCCAGACCCTGGGCATGGTGGGTGGAGACCCCTGTCCCTCCAGGGACCTCCAGGTTTAGCAGGAGGGAAGTGTGTGAGGATGCAGTTCATGCTGCCCCGTGGCCCCCCGTCTCTTTAGCTGATATCATCCAGGAAGTCGGGGTTGGGGGTGGGCTGGGCTCTGACTCCATGTGACAGAGACCGGCACCTGCCCCTCAGTGGGCCTTAGTTTCCCATATGAAATATGGTGGGGTCCCCAAGAACCTTCTCCATGGATTTGTTGAGAAGTTGAGAAGATAGGACAGTCTGGGGTGGGGGCAGCTCTGACCACACAGTAGCCTAAGACCCCCATGGGCGTCCAGACTGAACCACACAGCAGTGGAGCGTGACGCAGGGGTGGACGGGACACCCCGGAGGCCCAGGGCTGTGGTAGAGAGTGTACACTTAGGGCCCGGCTGGGTGGATTCGGGGGTGCTGACCTCAGGCCATTGGCATGGCCGTGAAGGTGCAGGACAGCCCGGGTTTAGCTGAGGCCCTGGCGTCAGCTCAGTCCTTTCCTACCCTGTGCCTTTGCTCATGGTGGTACCTTTGCCTGGAATATCCTCTCTCCAAGGTCCGTCTGTCTTTGGAGTGAATTTGGTGTCGGACAGACCCTACTCTGCTGAATTTTGGATGTCCAGTGCTGGAGAGGTCACTCGCTACCTCTGGCCTCCCACGTTTTAGAAAATTATTGAACTATAGCTGATTTACAAGGGTGTGTTCATTTCTGCTGTAGAGCAGAGTGACTCAGTTATACATCTATACATTCTTTTTCATATACTTTTCCATGCTGGTTTATCACAGGATACTGAATATAGTTCTCTGTGCTCTACAGTAGGACCTTGTTGTTTATCCATCCTATATGTAATAGTTTGCATCTGCTCATCCCAAACTCCCAATCCATCCCTCCCCCACCCCGCCCCGCCACCTCGAGTTTGTCCTCTGTGTCTGTGAGTCTGTTTCTGTTTCGTAGATAAGTTCACGTCGTACTTTATTTATTTCATTTTATTTACTTATTAATTTTTGGCTGCACTGCGTGGCATGTGGGACCTTAGTTCCCCAACCAGGGATCGAACCCGCGCCCCCTCCATTGGAAGCGTGGAGTCTTAACCCTTGGACCGCCAGGGAAGTCCCTGTGTCGTATTTTAGATTCCATACGTAAGTGATATCATAAGGTATTTGTCATTCTCTTTCTGGCTGACTTCGCTTATGACCTCACGTTTTTTAAATCGGTAAAGTAGAGATAATAATCTCTCCCTTAAGGAGAGTGTTCAGTGGGATGTGTGAATCGCCTGGTGTACAGTAGGCGCTCAGGAAACAGTAAGGGGTATCACCCCTTGCCCCCCCAGCATGAAATGGGAGTGTCTCTGGCCCATCACGTTAGATAAATGTTAGTTCTTCCCTTCCTTCCGAGGTGCCCGCTCTCCCCAGCCCACGTCAAGTTCGGGCTCACCCGAGCTAGTCCGGGACCCCCACGGCCGGGGGGCATCCCCCTCCTGCCTTGGCCCTGGAGCCCTTGTACTGGCCCCAGGCTGCGTGTTCCGCGGGGAGCCTCCTGAGCCTGACGGGTGGCAGACGCTGAATGAATGTTTGTGGGATGAATGGATGGGACGTTTCCCAGCCCCGCCCCACCTGAGCAGGCAGGTGGCAAAGCAGATGGTGGCGCTCCTGCGGGGTCTGGCGGGGGAGCCCACGCCTTGCACTAGGTCTTCTCCAGGCGCCTGGGGGTAGGGCTGTTGTTCCTGAGATCCCTTCCAGATAGAACATTTTGTCATTCAGCGACTTGAACTTTCTTGGTCTATTCTTGCCTCCTTCCTCCTCCGTTTCCTGGTCCTAAGACCTCGTCCTTAGAAGTGTCTTATATTGAAGCAATGACTAAAGAGTCCAGAAGGAACCTTCTGAGTGTTCTGGTGGCCCCAGGTGACCTGTCAGGGCCAGCTCTGTGCCGGCACTTGCTCAGCACCAGGGACAGAGCCCAGCGAGTGGCCCTGGGCTGTGGGTGGTGGGTGAGAGGGGGATCTGGGAGCTAGCAGAGCTGGGACCCCAGCCCCATCTCTGTAAGACCCCTCCCCTCCCTAGGCCTCGGTTTTCTTCTTTGAGAAACGGGGTGATGCTTTCCCCAGCACAGCTGGCATGACCTAAGGGTGACTGGCCACCCAGCACCGTCGGGACCCACCCCCTCCCCTCTTGCACATCCCTGCCCCTCCCCCAGCCCTCCAGCTGTCATGGTTCCCCACCCCCTTCTCTCCAAGGAGCGGAGTTATTTATCTGCCGGATGGTGACAGGCAGCAGTGGCTAGAGTTAGAGCTGCTGTCCAGAGATCAGCTGGCGGCCGCAGAGCAAACAGCCCGAGCTAATTAGCAAAAGGTCACGCCTGCTCCTGGAGGCCCCGCTTTTGAAGTCGGGGCCTCACACAGACAGGCTGGAGGGAGCTGAGACTTTGAGTTAGTGGCTTGGTTACCAGGACAGCTTCAAACCCCTGCTCACATCTCATCACCTGATTGCCCAGCGCACGACTCTGAGCTCCACCTTTTAGAGATTCCCGACGCCCGGGGTCCAGCCGTCCACTCCCTGCCCCAGGCCGGACAAACAACGGAGATCAGCCCCCAGCCTTCAGCCTACCCGGAGCTCAGGAGCAGACAGTCCCCAGCAGCCGAAGTGCAGGGCTGGGGAGTAGCCACCCATGTTACCCTCTCCTCCATGCTCCCGCCCCCCGCCACACACACACACACACACACACGCACACACACTCCCTCTGACTGTGTTGTTACTGTTTTTCTCTAAGTAAATTTACTTTTTAAAAACTTAAATACATTTATTTAAAAGGGAACTTTTATGGCACTACTACAAATAGAAAACAAGCCTCCTTTTCCATAAATAGAATTCATAATCATAAAAATAAATTCAGTGGAAACAAAGCAATGTTATTAAATTCTAGTTGGATGCCGCGGCCCAGAGGAAGCTCAGAGCCCAAGGCCTGCTATCGCTTTATTAAAGAGGGAAAACAGCAAGTGTGCACAGGTGTTCAAGACTTTACTAGCCCTGATCTGAGACTTTCTTTTGATGTAATCAGCAGCACTGAAAAGAATTAAATTAAGAGTAACTGTCTAATGAAATTATTCAGCATTATTTTATGCTGTGTCAGCTAGGGATTGAATTTGGCCGAACAAGACAGAAGAAACCTGACACTTGTGTGGTTGAACCCCATGTAGCAATTCATTTTTCTCGTGTAGAGAGTGCAGCAGTGGGGGTGGTACACAGTCTAAGGAAGTTATCAGCAATTCAGTTTCCTTGTAGCTGCTCCCTTGGCCAGTCTTAGCATTTGTCCTCATGGCCCCCAGATGGCTGCTGTGCCTCCAGCCATCGTATCTGCATCTCGGGTGGGAAAAGCAGAGGAGGTGAAGGGAAGGGAGTATACTGGCCGAGTCTGTTCCTGGTTATCAGGATAACAACCTGAGCCTGTTCTCTTGCCCACTGTGGTCCACTACCGCCTCATGGTTGGTTCTCACTAAATGGTCCCTCTATCTGTCGCATGCTTAGTTGGTGCCTCCTGTTTTCCAGGCAGTAGACCCCTGCCCTGTGTTCACGAGGCCACGTGCTGGCCTTTGTGAGATGAGTCGTGGCCCCGCCTCGGGGCATTCTTCCCCCCTCCACCCCACACCTGGCTCCTGCTGTCCACAGTG